GTGCAATCACGACTTATTGCAAAACTTTTCTGATATGGAAAGGAAAATAAAAATAAAAATCAGTAACCATAAAATAAGAATGGTTTCCCCAGCTATCCAGGTCACAGTAACTTGGCCTTATTACCCTGATCCCTATTGTCCTTGCTCTCAATAAGCCCCATGTTTCTGCATTCTGTAGTCACTGACTCCTGAATTCTTTAGCACCTGTGGGTGTGATGCATCAAATCCTGCTGATTACGATTCATTCCATTTGGACAAATTATACAGTATTCATTGGCTGTTCTTTTTCCTGTCCGTTAAATTAACAGTGAAATCCTAAGCTCACTTACTAGAGAGCAACCTCCAATGAGCTTAGTGAGGCTTACTTCTGAGTAAGCAAGCTTAGGCTTTCACTGCACTTGTCATTTTGAACTGCTTGTTAAAACATGGTGTAGCCATCCTCTCTCGTTTTGTCATTTATGGACCAGTTCAGCTTATTTTCTTCTGCCTACTTCCCCCCACTTCTACAGCATACTCGCAGAACATATTTGTCACATGCCAAGCATCCTCTGCTGAATCCAATTCCTTCTGTGGATTTTCTACATTGCTGGCATTTTCCTCCCTATTAATAAGTCATTTCGTATATGGAGAGACTTGTATGATAGCCTGATTTCTAGAAAGCATTTTATATATGCAAAGAAAATTGGGTTCTTCGTGGCCTTGTCAAACAACATGGAGCTCAAGCTGAACAAAGACTTGCTTAACATTTCTATCCTACTTTCTGCTAATGTTACTTGACCTTTCTGGAGCTAAATCTAAGGTCCTATTTGACATTGTCTTTCTACTCCATCAGCCTGGGCCTTCAGTGCTGTCAGTCATTCGAAGCTCCTCGACTCCCTCTTCTCTTTGGGCTTTAATTGACACCATCCTCTTTTCCAACTATCTAGCTTCTCTTTATTTCTACCATTTTCTAGTAATCCTACAAAGCTCTGTCCTTCAGCTCTTGTTTTTCTCCTGAGTACCCACATTCACATTCATGGATTTAACTATCAACTTTGTATAATAATAGATACATCAGCAAGTGCCCTTTTCCTATCAATGTTGGCATAATCCCAAGACATTTAGGAATATAAAGAAAAGCCAGCCGGGAGCTCTGAACGACAATTCTTTTCTGTGTGCTTGCAATAAATGCAGGCACTGAATAGATGCAAAATAGTAGGCAGGTATTCTGAGGTAGGAAGAGACAACAGAATAACTGGGGAACATTCAACATGATAAAACATTTATACCAGGGGGAGCCAATGTGGTGGCCTCCAGATATTGTTGGACTACAAGTCCCTTCATCCCCGATCATAGGTCATGTTGTGGCTAATGGCCAATTGGCTGTGGCTAATAGGACATCGAGTCCAACAACATCTAGAGTGTGCATGTGGGTGTGCCGTGTGATCCTCCCTGACATTAGTCACCTACAGTGCTGGAGCAGATGGAGGACTTGTTAATGATGCCAACTGCAACTCACCATTGGATGACTGAGAGTTGTCCTTGGTACATTTTTCTGCTTTGCTGATTCCTGGAGGTATGCAAGCAAGGCTCACCAAAGCTATTTAGAAGCTGATCACCCAAGCAATTCGGAATCTTATAGAGTGCTTTGCCTAGTCAGTCCTTGATTATAGCAATTGCCTAAAGTTTTTTTATGCATTTGGTTTGAAGTAATCTGAAAATATCAAGCGTTTATATGAGAACATAAATGCAAGACAGAGTATTTATTCATTATTCAATACAGCGGTACCTCTGGTTACGAACTTAATTAGTTCCGGAGGTCCGTTCTTAAGCTGAAACTGTTCTTAACCTGAGGTACCACTTTAGCTAATGAGGCCTCCTGCTGCTGCCGTGCCGTCGGCGCGCGATTTCTGTTCTCATCCTGGGGCAAAGTTCTTAACCCAAGGTACTACGTCTGGGTTAGCAGAGTCTGTAACCTGAGATGTTTGTAACCTGAGGTGTTTGTAACCCAAGGTACCACTGTATTCAGGTCATTCAAATAAAAAAGGAAAAACTTCTGCGTTTACCAACTCTCTTTAATTAAATTAAGACACAGCAGCTTGGTTCAAAACAAACCACTTGATCAAACCATAGTCATAGATTGAAGCTGGTTTGCAAACCTAGGTTTAGAGGGCAAGTGCAAACCAGAGTTCACCAGTTTGGATGCAACTAACTGAAGCAGAGCATAGGATAAGAGGCAGGCATAGGGCTCATTTTCATTGTACCAAACTATACCACCCCTAAGCCACTGTGGTTCCTAGCAGTGGGTGTTCAATAGGATACTGCCATGGATCATTTAAATATATTTTGCATGTTACTTTTATGTGATGTAGAACAAGTTCTAGATTGGTTCAACATGAGGAGTCCATGGACTAACAATGTTACTCCAAAGCCAGGCCATGTTATTTGTCAGAGAGGGTAGATGTAACGCCAAGGTAATTGCATTTTACTATTTCATGTGAGCTGACTTGAGGTTCCTTCTAGTTCAAAAAGCACATATAAATCAGAACAATAAGTAACCTCAAAAAGATGCAAGCCCTGCCTAAAACAGTACTGCAAAACTTCTGCGGAGACGGGACTAGAGGGGGTGAAGAGAATTAACCAATTTCTCTCTTTTTGAGAACCTTGGGTAATTTACATAGCAAAGCACAGCTGTTCAGTGCAAACCTCTTTACCCTGAATGCATCTTAAGAAAACTGTAGCAATACATCAATGTTGTGTCCACCTAATACTAATGGAAGAAGTACAAATCATCAATTATATATGATTTACTGCATAAATCATAAAACTAGTGAGACTGAGAGAGTATTTTTGAACAGGAAATCTGTTCTCTATTAAAGCAATGTTCTTTCCCTAGATAAAAGCAGACAGAAGACCCTTGCTGAGATCATGGGGAGTAGCTGCATCAAGTCAGAATAGGTAGCATCGAGCTAAAAATATACATAAAGAAATTTCATATGTTCAAAATCAGAACTGCTACAATTTGTGAAATTGCTTCGGTTTCCTTAGACAAATGTGATTTTTAAAGTGACGAAGGTTGCAATCCTATGGTCCTTACGAGGGCATGCCAGGGGCCATATGCTTCATTTAATTCCCCTTCTCAAGGGTGGATAAAGAGGATCAAACTTCATTTGTGCCTTCTCCATCAGCCTGCAGAAAGCTGCAGAGGCTGGGAGAGACCCCCTGTCTGTCTGAAATCCTGGGGAGATGCTGCCAGTCAGTGCAGAAAATCGTGAGTTAGATGGACCGAGGGCCTGCGTCAGTATAAGGTAGCTTCCTATGTTCCTACATTAGTGCAGGTTTCAGAATATGAAATCATAAAAACTCACTATTCCATGTATGTTTGAAATTTGGTTGTGTGCTCTCTTTCCCTAAGATAGTTTAAAATGAAAACTGCTAACCTTCAAAATAAATGATATCTAGAAACATAAAATGCAAATCACCCAATCTTGAATGATATATGAAATTGATAAATGAAATCAGATCCACTTTTCATTCAGAGGTAACCAACCCTAGAAATGTCCTTCTGAAATCAAGTCGAGTAGCGGTTCGAAGTGGAAATTTGGTCTATTTTCTGATAAGTATGTTATCAGAAAAACAAGCTAAGTATATCTTGTTTCCCCCCCAAAAAAATAACATATGAAGAAAACTTAACCAATATGGGTTTGATACAAGGACTGCAGAGGTCATTGTAAGCACCACATGTAGGCATGTAATGTACATTTATCAAAATAGCATTGGTTGATCTCTATATGGCAATTAATCAGTCCATCAGTCATCACAAAGATGTGACTGAATAGGCATATGGCCTTACATTAGGGCAGGCTGCCAGTGCTGAGACATGGGTTGCTTTCAGCTTTGTGACTGTGATGCTATGAGGTGCATCACACTGGAAACTACGGAATAAGGAAGAAGCAACAAATTGATGTGGAATATTACAAGACATCTGCCTGAGACCTCTAAAACATAATGATTATACTATAAAAATTGGCCATTCTAGCCAGGTCTGGTGGGAGTTGGAAGTCCCATAAGATTCCCCTTCCTTGACTCAGACATCAGAAACACAGACTGGTTCTATACAGTCTTCTTGGATAACATGTTTTCTGTGCTTAACTGCCAGCAAATAGGGTTTGTGGTTTACTTGTAGTTTGGAAACGTGTTCCTTTAACTATTATCTGTTTCTTTGGCAGTGTCAGCATATTCCATTTACTTCTACTCATAGCATTTTGTGCTGTTCTGGGGAAAAAAACAAATATGCAATGCAGGAGTCAAAATAAAACTCTCTCTCGTTAAATCTGATGTAATTCCTTTGCTTTGACATAACAGCTAGTGCTTCCTAGGTTTCCAAAGATTCTGCAACGAATAAAGCAACATAGACAGGGATTATATATTACACAGCAGCAGATATCAGGCCCCAACTCCATCCTTTACCATTCATTATTCACTAATAGTTATGCCACCAAGGCAGGCTGGTAAGTAGCAAGTGCATATTGCCCAGCAACACCAAGTATGGTTGGACAGACAGATATATTGCATTTGTAAAATAAAAATTACAAAAATAGGCATATGGCAAATGCACATTGTTTATTGGAATCAGGAATCACCAGTAGCTTAGGTCCAAGATACTACTTTATTCATTACGCACTACGGTGTAATGAGGTGTTTACAGGCTGGCCTGCGCAGGTGTATAACTGTATATAGAAAGTGTCAAATCTCACTGTAATTTATCTTCTCTGTTGATGAGATGTGGCATGCAATTTTGTACACTGACAGCTCAGTTAGCTAAATGTCATTGGCCTGCATAAAAATTGAAACAAGAAGGGTTAACACCCACAATATCAATCACTTGCGTTTCTGCAAGGCGATGGCTCATATGCATACTTCACTTCTGCTTTACCAATGTGAACATGCCAAGGAAAGAAATAATGAGCAAACAGGGATGCAACCTCCAGAGACTGAATTGTCTGATGGATGGATAGATGGATAGATAGATAGATAGATAGATAGATAGATGATAAATAGATGTAGACTTAACCCACAAAAAGTAAGTGGAACTCTGATAACAGAGAGGATTGTGCTCTCCGCTTCACAGAAGGAGATTTTAAAAAAACCCAGCTGTGATTACCAATATCACATTCATGGTATCACTTAACATCAAACCTAATAATACCAGAATATTTTAAAAACCCCACCACTTTTGGAATACAGTATTTTCCATTATATCTGCAATTACAATCCATCTCCTTTCTCCAAATCCTGCCTTATCTTTGGACATAGAATTAGGCTCCACCCTGCACCTCAGAGAACTAGTAGGCTTCTGACTGACTGCATGATTAGCGATAGCTCACCAATGGAAGAACCAGATTGAAATAACACTGAATATAGCAGAATGCAATTATCACTAATAGGGAGAATCTCGGCGATAAAAATGACTATTTCCCCCAAAATGCTATTTTTCTTCCAAACGATCCCAATACTTAATGATACATGATGTCTGAAAGACTGGTGAAAAGATCTGTCTAGGTTTATTTGGAGGGGGAAGAAACCTAGGATAAAACACAAGATTCTCATTGATATAAAAGATAGAGGAAGTTTTGCACTTCCAGACTTAGAATTGTATTTCGAAGGTGCCTGCTTGTGTCAGATAAAATAATGTGTAAAGCTTCGCTGATTAAAACTAACACCTCAAGTAAGGACTTTAGTTATTTAAAAGATCTGTAGGGTTCAGGTATGCTGAATCAGAGTATCCAGTCTCCAACACAGAGAGAGGTTGATAATCTCTTGCTAGTTCATATGGCAGACTGATGTTGATGAAGTTGTACAACACCAGCATGCTTGACCAGGCTGGCACCCTGCAGTGATTGCCCTGGCCGTATTCTGAGGGGTCGACATAACAGTTGCAACAGATGAAAGGTGCATGTGGCATAAGGACACATCAAAGACTTCAAGGTGAATGACTGGTGTTTTGTTTAAATTTGCAATCACATGGCTTTGGTCTGTGGCAATTTTTGACACACCAATCTGAGCATCATCTCACTAGCAATGCATGTTGGTCTGCAGGATTTTTGAGTGGGTGGGTGTAATTTAAATGTATGGTGTACCCCTTGTATAGCCAGCTAGCCAGTTTCCTCTGTAAGTCTCACATGCAATAAAGTTGCCAGTTGGCTATGCAATGCACCTCTGTCTGGCTTCCTCTTCGAGATACTTAATACACATTACTCTACTGCTGGAACACCACACAATATACTGCAATATCATAACAAGGTACTGGACAATCCATGTATTGCCTAAAGCACCAAGAAAAAAATACTGCTAGCTTGTTTTACAGTGTCTTTGAATTTTGTTTGTTCCTGATTCACTTCACAGCTAGCAAGTGTCTCCATGCTGAATTTGAAATGGTTTACAAATGTAATGCAACAGCAAAATAACTGGGGGTGGATGGGATAAACCAAACCAACAACAACAGAGCAACAAGTAGGAATCAAAACCACCTTATTATGTATAATTCTCACACAAGTCCTCTATAATTGTAGACACCAAAGCTGAAGGACACTCTTGAATATTCTTTTCACAGCTCTTGTGGTAAACAGAGGCTTCCCCTTGTTATTACAATGCAGCTCCATTTGTTATTATTCCCTGTTCATGTGAAATCTAAAAGCCAACAAGGGAATTTAGAAAGACAAATGTGACATTCAGGAAGAAAATCCAATGTAATTTTATTTGGGGAGTTTCTCGCATAATGCATTCAACTCCCCAGGTACATCAAGTAATTTAGACAGAAGATGTAAGTAAATTCTAACAAATGTACAGGTACTTTCGAAAGCGGGTGCTTTCATGCCATATCCCCAGGTTTTATTATTAGCATGACTCTTGTCCTAATTGCAGGGTATAAAAACAAGGCATGCCACAGACCTGCTGAGGAGCAGCGTTGTGCCTACAGGCTGCATTATAAGGGCAGGCCTTCACATTTGTGCAACATGTGATCTTTTTATCACTCTCCTGGCAATGAAGGGGGGGGGATCAGTAGTAAATCAATTAAAAGTGTTAGCACTATTGGCAGGCTAACAAGTAAATACTGACAGTGTGGTAAATTGAAAAGGCTCTTCCTGGCATGAAAGTGAGAGCGATGGCGTAATTTAAGGGTAGCAGGAGGTTGAAAGCCACAGTACAAAGAGACCAGGGTAGAGTCGCCATGTGTGCAGAGTTTAACAGGATGTTAATTGTGCATTAAGAGTACATAAATAGGCAGGAGCGTGGCAGGGGCATTTTGTTCTTGAAACAAAGAACAACCTCCACTGCAGAGTTGGAACGAAGGACGGGATGAATGCCAGGACGTTCTCTTTTAAATAAGGTGGGATTCTATAGCATCTTAGAAGATTCCATTTCAGAAAGACTTAAGAAATCTGGGGCAAAGGCAAGTATCCTGGCAGAGGCATCTGTTAGTAGAAGAGAAAGTATATGTTCCAGTGACTTATTCCAACTGGAGTGCCAAAATAAGACATAAGAAGGTGCTAAGGAAAGACTTTTGGCCAAAACTCACAGGGCAGTCTTCAGATGATAAGTTGCTACTTTCAGGAACCAACATGAGGCTGGCATCTCCTCTTTTTTTTTTTTAATGATATTTATTAAAGTTTCAAAGAAAAGATTACATAAATAAAAAGAGAAGAAAAAAAGAAAGAAAAAAAATGAAAAAAAATACAAAATACTGAAAAAAGATAAAAAAACACTTAAAAAAATACATCAATCTTTCCATGCCTTACATTTCATTTCCTTGCTTCCCTGACCTCCTCACACCTCCCTTTTTTGTATTCCAATTCTATTGGTTAATTCAGCAATTCCTTTCCCTCTTTGTTTTTGTCTTAATCCTTTGACTTAATATATTATAACTTTGGATTTTCACCTGTTAACAATCCATTTTTACATACACCTTTATAACATTGCTGCTAAAACCACTTAACTTCATTCTGACATCAATCTAACATTCATTAATTTTGCAGTATTTCTGTAAATAGTCTTTAAATTTCTTCCAATCTTCTTCCACCGACTCTTCTCCCTGGTCTCGGATTCTGCCAGTCATTTCCGCCAGTTCCATATAGTCCATCACCTTCATCTGCCATTCTTCCAGAGTGGGTAAATCTTGTGCCTTCCAATTCTTTGCGAGGCTGGCATCTCCTTATACCTTTCTGGTCACTGATAGCCACAGAATGCCAGGCTTGATTATAGAATCATAGAGTTGGGCTGGACTTCAGAGGTAATCTAGGCCATCCTCTTGCCAACGCAGGAAGTCCATGTCTACAGCATCCTGAGAAAGAATCCCTGATGCACCTTTGCTCTGAGCCGAAAGCATTCTCTCTGTGCTCTTGATTCACCTAGCAGCACTCTTTCACTTTACAGTTCCTGTTATAGTAGGTTAACTAGACAGCTAAAGCAGGATAAAGCAAACCTGTAGGTGGGTCACTTTGTCTCTCCCTCCTCAGACCAAATAAATAAAGTAAGAAGAATATTGCATTTTGTTACATTCAACCTATTTATCTACTTGCACTGGTATGCTTTCGAATGGCTAGATTGGCAGAAGCCGGGACAAAGCAATGGGAACTCACCCCATCATGTTGATTCAAACTGCCGACCTTCCGATTGGCAAGCCCAAGAGGCTCAGTGGTTTAGACCACAGTGCCAACTGTGTCCCTTACAACCTCTATGGATAGTGATGAATTGGGGAGGAAATGAAGGATATCCAGCATACTGGTATTCACAATTCCTAACATCATGTATTTTCAGAATAAGATTCATTCAGGCTGCTTTGCCCTCTGAATTATAGGCTCTCCTTCACTCTAGTTTGTTGTGCTTCTCAATTGCTGGCAAGTTGGCAAGTGGCTATATCATTATTTCTTTAAACATAAGCAACAAAGTCCTGTTACTAGAGCCAGCGATTACCAGTGAATCACATTGTTTGAATTCACTGTTAATTGAAGTCTTGCCATCTGCTATTGCACGGAAAAGGATGGGAAACCTTCTTAGAACCAATTCCAACATAATATGAGAAGTGTATGCGGTGAATTTATAAAGCAATCCCATGAGAACATATAGGTGAAAAGATGACCCTGAGATAGATTAAGCTTTTCTGGGGGGTGGCTTAAAAAGCAATATCTTAGTTTCTTGTTGGAGCTTGCTCACAGGATTATGCCTGGCAAGTTACAAGAACAGATAGTCTGTGTGTGCATATTCATAGAATCATTGCAAAGAATTATTGAGTTAAATCAGTAGCCTTGAGCACCATTTGGTGGAAACACAGCAGACAAATTTCACAAGCAACCAAACAATAATAGCCAAATTTTCCAACAAGTGTGCTGCAGGTAAAATCCAAAAACTGTGCCACTGTAGTGTGCACTTATGCTACAGAGAAAGGGAGAAACCAGAGCCTGCATGTAGTTTTGCTTCCAGCCTGCTAAGCCCAAGAGTAGACAGATTTGTGGCATGGAGTGCAAGCAGAAGGGTGTCCCTGAAGATATGCTTTAATTAAGTGCATGCATTCCAACATTTGACAGATGAAAACAGGAGTATCTCTGTGCCTGAATCTAGAAACAGAGTCTAACAGTCCAGTGGAAAGCCTGTTGCCTAATGGTGGGTCCACAGGACCCTAAGTCCTAAATAGATAGCACATCTAAACACCATCCACCCCCAAAATAGACAAAGGAATCAGACAACCTGCACCCCACCCTGAATTAAAATAAATAAATAGGGAGGAACAGGGTGCCAAGGATATTGTGCTGCCCACAACATTCTAGAATCCCAAGTCTATGAGCTATTTGCCTTCTTTTACTCTGTTTTGACTTGAGTCCCCAGGCAGAAAGACTTTGAATCCCTAATCTCAATGCTTGGTAGTCATTTCATCCAATCATAGTGCTATGAGTTGGGATGGTTAAACTGTATATGTGAGACCCCTTCTAATTCCTGGATCCAGCACAGATTCAATTCCTGAAATAGCCAGGCTAGCTTCCTGGTGAGGTAATAGTCCTCTAAGTAATGGCCATTAAGGTAACAAAGGAAGTGGCTCTGTGCCAGATGTCAAATGGGTGGGGTGCCCGCCCTCAACTCACTGGTAGTTAGAAAGACAAAGGCCAGAGTTGAGAGGTGAGTTATGTGAGCTAGCAGCCGCGTGCTGGGCAGCTGGAGACAGCATGATGCCTGATTTCTGTTGGAATCCAAAGCTGTGGCTATAGGAGAAGGAAAACCCTCTTGGGGTGTTAATGCCGTGAACCCCCTCCCTTCCTTGTAGACTCAGGTTGTGTATATGTGAAACCCTGGCATCTCACACCATTCAAAGATTGGGGTGGCAAGCAACAATGCAAATGTGAGAGATGCAGACAGGCAATAGTATTCACTGAAATTAACAACAATACTCCTGATTAACTGGTTAGTCCAGTTAATCAGGACAGCTGAAGGGTAAACCATCTCATGACCCTGGTGGTGCTGCCCAGCTGTGCTACTTACGGCACACATGCCACACACCGACCATGTGACAGTTGCATCTTACACACACTAGTTCCGTATCTCACCAATCAATTCAGTATAAAGACACCAAAACTAAACACAAGCTCTATTCAGGTATTAGGCTTGAACAGGGAATGTAAACACAAGGACGAGTGTAGAGTGACATTCAGTGCATGCAAGCCCTCTCCCCAAGTCCCCACACGCAATGGCCTTTATGCACTCCACCCTTAAGCTTCTTGCATCGAGCAAGAAAGGTCCCAAGGGATCTTCAACAGTACAGGTGAAAATAACATGCAAAATACCAACCCTCTATCTAGCTATAGGGTGCTATGATGCTTTGGGCTAGTGCTCTGGAAGAGGCAGCTAGCATCTCATAAGCAGGAACGCTGTGGTTCTGTAAGTACATTAACATACATTTGACTATTTGCAACTGCTCCTTTTCTGCTGATGTCCCATCACAACTGTCACCACTTCTTGCAAATTGTTGCTTCCTGCTGTCTCTGAAGAGAGAGACTTTGCTTGTTCAAAATGGCCCTCCTCTGCCCCTTACAGGCCTAATACTAGCACTGCTACTGCCATGCATGGATATCTCAGCATCACGATTAGCCTAAATAAATGCACACGCGCACATTTACAAACACAGACACATAGTATCTTCCAAGGCGTCTATGAATTGCATTGCTAGATCCATTATTCAACAGCAAACACAATGGAGTACCCTTCATTTCCATAGTAATTATGTAAATGAGTTCACCTTTGTAGCAATCTGTGTAAAGTTTATGGAAATCATCCACAGTTGAGTTATAGGATGTCCTTGAAGCTGCTGGATATGTGGAGATACGTATGTACAGGAGGAGGGCAGCCACTTTGGGTCTTAGCCTCACTTGTCCTCTACGGTTGCTCAGCAACTTCCATGGATGGAATCTCAGGGAGCACACCGTGCTTAGAGATTTTTGAAATATTAAGCGGTGCATAAGTGCTTTTAAATAAAAGAGTGCACAATCATATATTTCACAGAACAGATGTCTGAATCCCTTGCAGCAACTCAGCAAGAACAGCACATTACTGTGCAACAAAATTATTACATGGAGTAGCCCTTAGTCCACCTCTTTCACTCACCCTCAGTACAATACCTAAACCAATTCTTTAGCCGTTCGTCTTGTCTGTTTATCAAAAGCACTTTTCTGTGTTTGAAAGGACTGGGAGCATCTGCTCACTGCGATCCACTTTGCTTGTCACCAGCCCACAATTTTAAAGAGATTATTAATCAATCATTAAACAGTAAACAAAAGCATGTGGCAAAATGATGGGAGGGCAGTGATCATTTAGCTCATGGTGCCATGGCTCTCTGCTTCGGATAGCAATCACTCAGGTGGCCAGATGGCATAACACTGCTGCTGCTGCTGACATAAGCACAATGAACTGTGCAAGGGCATACGGAGGTATAAATACTCCAGTACTGTTTAAGTGGGATGGTGGCAGACTAGCCACAGTCTTCCCATATTCCACTCCTGGATATGAATTCATCTGACTGGGAGGAATTAGTTTATATTGCATTTGTCATTGGAGACTAACCATGCCTACAAAAAAGCAAAGATCGCATCTAATGGCAGCCTTGCCTGAACAAGTGCTACCAGATTAATAAAAAGAAAGACCACAAGGTTCCACCGCCTTCCCAAAAGGTCCTGAACAATGGGACCTGTGCTCTCAGCTATTCTCAGGGAAGGAACAGTTTGACCAAAAAATGCCGGGATTACAATGATTACAAAGGAGTGAGATTTTTAAAAAAACAAAAAACTGCATAATAGTAAAGGCTTGACAAACAATTATGGGCAAAAGGGGTGACATTCAGTCCCAGCTAAAGACCTGGACACGGGTGGCGCTGTGGTCTAAACCACTGAGCCTTGGGCTTGCCGATCAAAAGGTCAGAGGTTCGAATCCCCGCAATGGGGTGAGCTCCTGTTGCCCAATCCTAGCTCCTGCCAACCTAGCAATTCGAAAGCACATCAGAGTGCAAGTAGATAAATAGGTACCACTCCGGCGGGAAGGTAAACGGTGTTTCTGTGCGCTGCTCTGGTTTCGCCAGAAGCGGCTTAGTCATGCTGGCCACATGACCCAGAAGCTGTACGCCGGCTCCCTCGGCC